ACGGAGCTCTTCCACCAGGCGTATGAGTAGGAGCCGCCACTACCATCATCATTATTCCATCTTCACCTGGCCCTGGATGAGGGAACATCAATGCTTCCCTGGAGCAGACGATGCTGAACAGTTCAAATATGCCATCTCTGAAATTTCATGTAGAACATCTAGAGCACTTTAGTCAGTAACTCGTTATGAATGTTTTGTACTGTTGGATTTTAAATGGTTTTAATTATGTTTTATATTGGCGTTTGCCCCTATGTAAGCCGCCCTGAGCCCGCATTGCGGGGAGGGCGGGGTATAAATTGAATAAAATAAATAAATAAATAAAGGAGACTCTCCTTCGGGTAGTGAAGGGCAGGGTACAAATCCAATCTCCTCCTCCTTCTCCCCCTTCTGGGAGGGCAGTAGTGAGAAAGTAAAGGGATAGATGGGGTGCTTCCTGGCCTTCCTTTCGTCCATGCCTCTTACGCTTCCCGTGTTACCCAGAATGCTACTCTCAGGGGTTCCTCTCTTCCATCATTTCCCCTCTCTCGCTTCCTCTGTCCACCACGAGGGCTGCTCATTGCTTTCTACAATCTCTCTCCATCCTAGCTTAGATAAATAGCTTAGACCCCTTTACTCTGCCGTTCCTATCTCGCATGGAGTTCTCCTACGATACAGAACGTCTATTTCTTCTCTAAGTAACAAGCCTCAGTGGGAACTCATTCCTCAAGCAGCTGGACTCTAGAATCCCGAGTCTCCGCTCCGTTTTCGACGGGGATCCAGGGCCAGCTGCGAGAGCCAAGAATGTGTCCTCTGTCTGTCTCCAGGTATTTAAACATGCTTGTCGGCCCTTCCCACTTTGCATGCTCCGTGCAGGAAATGAAACACCAGAGTAAACACAGAGAAGACGGGTGGCGCTGCAAAAGAGAGGATCTGCTGCACCGACATTGTTTGAACACTTGCCTAAATATGCCTTGGTAAATCCGTTTGTTTCCAGTACGGTTGGCCCGCTTCCATGTTCTCAGCAGGCACTCTTATTTTCCAAGAGTAAGCCAGGAGCCGGGGCGACGTGACAACTTTGTGGATGGTTCAGGCGGGTCTATAATAAAGCTGGGGCTGCTTAGCACTAAAACTATGGATGCCAACCTCCGGTCGGTAAGCCGAAGTATACGCAACGTGAAAAATGACGAAAATTGCAATTTATATAAACAACTAACTGTGTAATGCAATAGATAACTCAGTTTCTGTGTATCAAAAATTCGACAGTCTTTTAGTGTCCCTTATAGACTTATAAAATCCTAAAAGTAATCAACCCTGACTGTTCCCTGGAAGGCCAGATAATAAAACTGAAGCTCCAATACTTTGGCCACCCAATGAGAAGGGAGCACTCACTGGAGAAGACCCTGATGCTGGGAAAGACTGAAGGTCAAAGAAGACAGGGACGGCAGAGGATGACATGGTTGGACAGTGTCATAGATGCAACAAACATGAAGTTGAGCAAACTTCAGAGGACGGCGAAAGACCGGAAGGCCTGGCGGGATCTGGTCCATGGGGTCGCGAAGAGTCGGACTCGACTGTGCGACTGAACAACAACAGCAACAAAAATAAACTTTGGATGCAGTCAAATTCATTCGTTCAACAAGCGGACTCCAGGTATTTCAGCCATCAAGTGTCCTTGCTGTGATTTGACCTTGCTGAAAACTGGAAGCGACAGGAGGCCGTCAGCTGACTTATCTCCTGTTCTGTGCTTCCACAAGGCTCACAAGCACGACTCCAGCGGGCCAGCTATAATGCCTGTTTTGCACAGGCTTCTTCGTGGGAAATCACACTAATGAATAAAACATTTGAGAGCCAAAAACATCATTAGACACTGTTAAATAAATGTATTAATCAAAGCTACAGACTCATATCTCTGCTTATTCCATCAAGATACTTACAAATACCAGCTTCAAAGATTCAGTTCGCCAACCTCCAGGTGGCGGCTGGATATCTCCTGGGATCACAACTGACTTCCAGGCGTCAGAGATCCGTTCCCCTGGAGAAAATGGCTGTTGTGGAAGGTGGACTCTATGGGATTATAACTCACTGACGCCCCTCCGCAAGGCCCGCCCTCCTCTGGCTCCACCCCCAAATCTCCAGGTATTTCCCAACTTGTAGTTGGCTTCCCTAACTAAAGGCAACTCAAACTAAAAATAAATAAATAACCTTAACTAAAGCATTTTGCTGTCCTGGGGCACCTGTGCTCCAATGGTATGAGATCAATTCTGGTGAGGGAGGGTTAGAGTCTGCACATGCTTCCAAAAAGATCTCATCAAGATACAGGCTATCAGCCGTTCCAACTTTCTAGAAAAATATCAAAATGTGGTGTGTTTTGGTGAAATGTGCATATCTCCAATGCAGACGCCTTGCTGCTTTTCATTTCAAGTGGAACCACAAGAGAAAGACAGGACCAGCTATTGATTCAAACTTGGCGTGGCCACCTGGAGGCCAGGTAACAGTTGTTTTGTGGCAGGATCAGGGTTAGCCAACTGGACGCCCCTGCTTCAGAATTTAGGCACTGAAATTATAGGAGTGTCATCTAAGGGCCACCCTGACCTGGATATCCCATGCCAGACCGATCTCGTCAGATATCAGAAGCTAAGCAGAGGCTAAGCAGAGGTCCATCAATGGCTATTAGCCACAAGGTATAGATAGGAACTCTCGGTCTGGGGCAAGTGATGTTCTGTATTCTTGGTGCTCGGGGGGGGGGCAACAGTGGGAGGGCTCCTAGTGTCCTGGCCCCACTGCTGGACCTCCTGATGGCACCTGGTATTTTTGGCCACTGTGTGACAGAGTGTTGGACTGGATGGGCCATTGGCCTGATCTGATATTGGCTTCTCTTATGTTCTTATGGTACTTGGGTGGGAGAATATCAGGGAAGTCCAGGGTTTCTTCATAAAGGCCAGCAGTGGCAAACCACCTCTGTTCATCTCTTGCCTTGAAAGCCCTATGGCTGGGATCCCAAAGCTTTTTGAGCCTGTGGGTACCGTTGGAATTCTGGCACAGGGTGATGGGCACGTCTGCAGCATGGATGACACGGGAGGCGAAGTCAGCCCCATGGAGGAAGCTCCAGTGCAGGAGAGGTGTAATTTGCAATATATATATATATATACTCAGGGAAAGATTTTTTGTGTGAGAGAATGAGACTCAACATTGTGGTCGCAACGGCCCCTGAAACAGTATTTTAATCTGCACAGTGAATTGGATCTCCAGCGGCCAATCAGAAACCCTGCTGGGTCAGAGCCCCACCCACTTTCTAAAAAACGTGCCACCAGGAAAAGGTATCAGTAGGCAGTGTGGAACCCGCGGGCACGACGTCGGGGACCCCTGTCCTATGGGGTCACCAGAGATGGGCTGTGACTTGATGACAACTCGTGGGCACTACATGAAATTGCTGAGCGGTCGGGTTAGAACGGATAAAAGGAAGTACTTCTTCACCCAAAGAGTGATTAACACTTGGAATTCACTGCCACAGGAAGTGGTGGCAGCTACAAGCATGGACGGCTTCAAAAGGGAATTAGATAACCATATGGAGCAGAGGTCCATCAGTGGCTATTAGCCACAAGGTATAGATAGGGACTCTGGGGCAAGTGATGCTCTGTCTTCTTGGTGCTTGGGGGGGTCAACAGTGGGAGGGCTTCTAATGTCCTGGCCCCACTGCTGGACCTCCTGATGGCACTGGTATCCAACATTGGCATCTCTTATGTTCTTATGTTCTTATGACAATTTGCACCACCAGTCTAAGGGTCATCCCTGATCTATTCGGCTGACCCCTAGGATGGAATGCTGAAGGTTGACCGCCATCATTTAATAACCTATTAGTGTCATTCATGTTAGCCCCTTTTAATGTTGGAATGTTTTATATAGGCTTTTAGAACTTTTTCGTTGCTTACTCGTGCGTTTCTTATTCTTTTATGTAAGCCGCCCTGAGCCGGCCTCGGCTGGGAGGGCGGGGTATAAATCTGATAATAAATAAATAAATAAATATCTGTATTTCGTGTGCTTGAGAGTGGACCGGGGAGAACAACGTACCGTGGTCCTGATCCTAATTGGGGCCACATATGTTTTGGAAACGCGTTTCCTCGCACCTGATTTGTGACTGTCAGCTCTGCCCCAGATCGACTAATCTTGCAGAGAAACGGTCTCCGTTCTGTGAACATACCATTACGAATGGCATTCCACCTCATAACCAACATTACAGGGACTTAAGAACATAAGAGACGCCAAGGTTGGATCAGGCCAAAGGCCCATCCAGTCCAACACTCTGTGTCACACAGTGGCCAGAAATACCAGGTGCCATCAGGAGGTCCACCAGTGGGGCCAGGACATTAGAAGCTCTCCCACTGTTGACCCCCCCAAGCACCAAGATGACAGAGCATCCCTTGCCCCAGAGTCCCTATCTATACATTGCCACCTCCTGTGGCAGTGAATTCCAAGTGTTAATCACTCTTTGGGTGAAGAAGGACCTCCTTTTATCCGTTCTAACCCGACCGCTTAGCAATTTCATGGAGTGCCCACGAGTTCTTGTATTGTGAGAAAGGGAGAAAAGTACCTCTCTCTCTCTACCTGCTCTTTTCCATGCATAAAGTGTATAGGGTGGGATCCCTCCTCCCACCCTATACACTTTATCAATCACTACCTACCCGAAAGCTGATGCAGAGCTGACGACTGGAAGCTACCCTGTTCAGACTTTCACACTGATTTACGATTTACTGTACAAACATATCACTTGCAAAGTCAATTGGCTGTTCTGTCTCTGATTGTGTGAACTTTGATTGTCTTCTGTGGACGCGCATCTTTCCCGTTTTGTTTTTGCTTGATCAAACTTTGACTAAAGATTTAAATTTTTTAAAGTCAGGTGAGAGGACCCCACACATCGCATATTAGAAGTCATAACCTGTTGTTTGGCCCTAATGGAAGCAAAGACCTGGTGTCAAGCATCATGTCTTCTGTCCTGTTTTTTTCTTTTCAAAATCTGTAGTCCGAGCGGGAAGAAGTTCCGAAGCAAGCCTCAACTGGCGAGATACTTGGGGAATACAGTGGACCTCAGCAGCTTCGACTTCCGGACGGGGAAGATGATGCCCAGCAAACTACAGAAGAACAAACAGAGATTAAGAAATGATTCGCTCAATCAAAATAAGGTTTGTTGGCAGCCGTGCTTTATTACAAAGACAAATATGGTCACAGTCTGTAGACATGAAAAGATAGAGCCACAGGAACTGTGTAAAGTGCGCTCAGTGTTTCTTTGACGATAGCAATAATGTCATAAATATGAAAATTACAAAAGTGACACTAATACATTCAAATTGTGAATCCAGTTACATAAGATAGAAGATAACAATTTTCTCCATTACTTGCGCAATGAAATAGGTGAAACTGTTATTGAACTCCAATGTGAATCGGGTAGCTTTTCTATTGAAGTGCAATTTTCCACACATCATCCACTTATAGATTCTTGGTCAGAAGAAGACGTTTGTCGAAACGGCATCGCATTCCGGAGACCACCGTCCCGCCGTCATTGTTATCTTCTATCTAATGTAACTGGATTTACAAGTTGAATGTATTAGTATCACTTTTGTAATTTTCATATTTATAACACTATTGCTATAGTTAAAGAAACATTGAGCGCACTTTACACAGTTCCTGTGGCTCTATCTTTTCAAGCCGTGCTTTATTAGCCTGCAAAACAGAGTCTTAAAATCCTCCTTTTCATAAAAAGTATCTTGTCAGGGATGCTATTCTGTCTTGTCAGGGGTGTTCTAGGCTGATCCTGCATTGAGCAGGCGGGTTGGACTAGATGGCCCGTATGACCCCTTCCAACTCTGTGATTCTATGATTCTATTCAATGCTCTTTGCATTTGTCTTCATTAGTGGTGGAATTCTGTTTGTATGGGTTTTTAACTGCCGGGATAAACAGGAAGAAGTCTGGAGTGTAAAACCTGAAAGAGGTTTTTTTTAAAATGAGCATTTGTGCATAATTGAAAGGAGCCACATCTAGTGTTTTATCTTCAGGCCCACCGTCCAACTGCTCCCCATTTTCACCTTGTGGCAAGTTACTGCAGCTCTCTGGCTCTGCGTTGCCATCCTCGATACCTTCTCTCCCCTTCCAGATTGCTTCTGGCAGACTTATTGATTTATTGATTTGATTTATTCCCTGCCGAAGCGGGCTCAGTCCCCCAAGGATATTGTCCTGTCCCAAACAAGTCATATCCTAAGAATGTTGCCCCCTCTTTAAAAAGGAGAGCAAAGTCCTAGTCCACAGGACAAGGTGGGAGCGAATGGGGACTGAACAGCATTTCTGGCAGTTGGCGTGAGGAGCGATGTAGCTTCTGTGCCCCCCGCCTAGCTCCTTTGCCGTCCTCACGGCGAGCAGAGAAAAAGAATCCATTGTGCAAATGTGCATACTTTGATAGGTCACTGAAATCAGGTTTTGTTGTGTGTGGGAGCCCTTTTTGTAGCTGGCGGAAGAGTCTACAAAGCTTGTGTCGGGTCAGAATGGCATATTATGATTATCCAGCGTTTCCCCGAGGAGCTCAGGGTGACATATGTGATTCCCCCACCACCACCACCATTTTGTTGTCTGGTAATGAACCTGTAGGAGAGACTAAGCTGAGAGATAAACAGTGACTGGCACAAGGTCGGTGACCGTCGTGGCTGAACAGGGATTTGAACTGGAGTACCCCAGTCCCAGCTGTGGTGGCTCAGTGGTTAAGATGCTGAACTGCAGACTGGAAGGCAATTTAGCCGTTCGAGACCCAAGTGTTGCATGACAGAGTGAGCTCCCGTCTCTGGCCCCAGCTCCTGCTAACCTAGCAGTTCGAAAGCAAGAAACTGCAAATAGATAAATAGGTACCGCTTCAGTGGGAAGGTAACAGCGTTCCATGTGCCTTGGCATCTAGTCATGCCGGCCACATGACTTCAGAAACGTCTTCGGGCAGCGTGCATGACAGAGTGAGCTCCCGTCTCTGGCCCCAGCTCCTGCCAACCTAGCAGTTCGAAAGCAAGAAACTGCAAGTAGATAAATAGGTACCGCTTCAGTGGGAAGGTAACAGCGTTCCGTGCGCCTTGGCATCTAGTCATGCCGGCCACATGACTACAGAAATGTCTTCGGACAGCGCTGGCTCTTTGGCTTGGAAATGGAGATGAGCACCGCACCCTTAAAGTCGGATTTGACTGGCTTTCGAGCAAGGGAAACCTTTACCTTTACTGACTCCAGTCCCGGCTGCTGTGCTGTTAGGATTGCTTGCTCACTCAAATCAGGGCGATGCTATTATGCATACCCGTCTGAATTGTGTGGGTGAAGGGTAGTGGCCTGAAACATTCCTTCAGAATACCCCGAAACTCTTTTCCATGGCTGTTTTTTGTGGCCATTATTTTCTTTCTGCTGCTGCTTCAGTTTCTCTCGCCTCAAGCGGTCTTAGCCAGTCAGGGATCAGGTACTGAACGTGAACAAATGAACACGTAGAATCATAGAACCATAGAGTTGGAAGGGACCACCAGGGTTATCTAGTCCAACCCCCTGCACAGTGCAGGAAATTCGCAAATACCTCCCCCTCCTCACCCCTAGTGAGCCCTGTTTCGTGCCCAGAAGATGGCAAAAAAACCCCCCAAAACAACAACCCTCCAGGATCCCTGGACAAACTGGCCTGGAGAAAAATGGCTTCCTGACCCTAAAGTGGTGATCAGCATTTCCCTGGGCATGTAAGAAACGGCCACGAGCACTGAGGCAACCTTTCCTGCCCTCATTCTTGTGCTCTGCCTAAGTCCACAGAATCAGCATTGCTGTCAGATGGCCATGTAGCCATCTCAGAAGGAAAGCATGCCTGCATCGAAATCTCCCGGTTCCAAAACCTACAGTCTGGTGTAGTGGTTAGAGACTGGGAGCTGTGAGTCCCATGAAGCTGCCTTCTGCTGAATCAGAACTTTGGTCCATCAAAGTCAGCATTGTCTACTTAGACTGGCAGTGGCTCTCCAGGGTATCTCGGCCTAAGAGGTCTTGCGCATCGCCTCCTACCCGATCCTTACTGGAGATGCCAGAGATTGAATCTGGGACCTGCTGCAAGCAAAGCAGGTGCTCTACCCCTGAGCCACGGCCCTCTCCCTTGATGAGATGACGCGACTGCTCCGTAGCCAATCAGGTTTGGGAGAAAGGGCTGTGCTTTCTGGACCAGTCACATGGATGGGCCCTGCCAGTTATATTACTGATTGCCCTCATGCTGCATTAACAGCGTCATTTAATGTTGGCATCCCTTTTTGAAGCTGTTTCTGAAGATTTGTGTGGGCGTGTTTGTACTTTCTTCCATTGTTGGAACAAGTTTGCAGAAATTGGCCTCTCTCAGGCTCAGACTGAAAGCATTAGGGTTGCCAGTCTCCAGGTGGGGCCTGGGGATCTCCTGCTTTTGCAACTGATCTCCAGCTGACAGAGATCAGCTCCCCTGGAGAAAATGGCTGCTTTGAAGGGGGGAATCTATGGCATTGTACCCTGCTGAGGCCCCTCCCCTCCCCAAACCCTGCCCTCTCCTGGATCCACCCCCAAAGTCTCCAGGTATTTTCCAATCCAGACTTGGCAACCCTAGAAAGCATGCCTGCATCAAAATTTCCCTTTTCCAAAAACCTACAGTCTGGTGGAGCGGTTAGGGACTGGGAGCGGTGAGTCCCAGGTTCAGATCTTGACTTGTCATGAAACTCACCAGATGCCTCTGGGCCAGTCATTCTTAAGCCGCTTTCACACATACTGAGTAAGGCACTTTCAATCAGGCCCATAGCTATGGCGGGGTTTTGGGGTGCTGCGCCCCCTTTCTTAAGGGCACAGGTCCACAAGAATTTCTCCTGTAAATGCTTTTTTCAGTCATTTAAAAACATTTTTTAAAAGATGTGCACTCCTTTAAGTAGAGTGGGGTGCTGTAGTTAACTAATTCCCGCACTGAGCAAGGGGGGTAGAGTACGTGACCTCTAGGATCCCTTCTAACTCTGTGTCAAGAAACTAGTCTCCTTAAAGAGAGTTTTTCTGCCTAAGAGTTAGCTTTCTTGACTACAGAAGTCATCATCTTCACCTGTTGGTTTGTTATCAGAATTGTTGCTTAGACTGGCAGAAGTGATTAACTTGCAGCAGCTGAAAACTGTCATCTAAAGTGGTTGACACAGCTTGCAATTTAGAGATCTATCCTGATAACAGCTTTCTGTTGGCTAAATGGCTTTTCTTTCTACACTGAGAACTTCAGTCCCACCAGAAAAAAAAAATTGCCCTGCAAGCCACAAAATCCTGGCTACGGGCCTGCTTTCAATGTACTTTGCAACTAGAATTTTCTATGTGAAAAGGAAAAACCCACTTGCAAACAATTGCTAAAGTGCATTAAAAGTGTATTATGCAGCATGTGTGAAAGCATCTTTAGTCTAACCCTACCTCATGGGATTGTAGTGGGGATAGGTTAAGGAAGAGGGAGCCACATACAACAACTTGGATTAAAGTTCTCTGGAGACATGGCAGAGGAAGTCAGGTGTCGAATGCGTGGCGCGTGTCAGACGGCCCACCGAATTGCTGAAAATGTCGTTTTGTTAGATGAGTCACTTGTTCAAGAGGGATGTGATGCGTGTGGCCAAGTTGTGAGAAAAGGCTATCGTTTAGCTCTTGGTCCTCTCAGAAGCTCTCCTATTGATCTCTTCTGTGTCAGGACTAAATAACATGCGTGCTTTTCTCTCCCCCTCCCTCCTCTGAATAGGGCAAACCAGACTTAAACACAACACTGCCAATTAGACAAACGGCATCCATTTTCAAACAGCCTGTAACCAAAGTCACCAACCATCCCAGTAACAAAGTGAAGTCGGATCCACAGCGAGTGATTGAACAGCCCAGACAGGTGAGTGGGGAGGGGGGTGAGGAGGGGAGGGGAGAAGAACACTTAAACCGGTACTGTAGAAGAATAATCCCCCGACCTGGATGGCCCCGGATGGCCCAACCTCATCAGATCCTGGAAGCTAAGCAGGGTCGACCCTGGTCAGTATTTGGATGGGAGACCATCAAGGAATACCAGGGCCAATGTTCCCTCTAAGCTGTGGAGTCTTCTGAGCAAAAATTCTACTTTGCGAGCGATTGGCATTAAAGTTGTGAGCCAGCGATTTGGCAGCTGCGTAAGTTAGTTTGCTCTGGAGCCCTCCTTCCTGAGCTAAGACAAAAATGTGTGAGCTGGAGGCTAAAAAACTGTGAGCTAGCCAGAGGTCATTTCGGGGGGGAAACGCAGTTCCCCCGGGTGAGATACGGGGGGCGGGGCACATGACAAAGCCCCGCCCCCTGCTTCCGGCCCTCATTCGGCCAGGAGGAGGCAGGAGAAGAGGGAGGGTAAGTTGCTTCCTCCCTGCCTCTCCCCACCCCTGCCTGCCTGGGGCCAGGGAGGGCCTTCGCGGGGCTTCCTTGCACTCCCGCCGGCCTTGCAGGTCCACTGCCTTGCAGGTCCACCACCCTCATGGGGCTCAGCAGTGGAGCTGCAAGGCAGGCGGCGGTGGCCGGGACCGTTGGGGGTGGGGTGTGTGGCCTTATGACACATTTCCAGTGATGTCAGGAGGTGTGGCCTTATGACACACTTCCGGTGATGTCAGGGGGTGTGGCATATGCTAATGAGTTATGCTAATGAGTTCCCCTAGCTCTTTTTCTACGAAATGACCCCTGGAGCTAACTCACACTAACTCAGCTTAGAGGGAACACTGACCAGGGCTACTACACGGAGGCAGGCAATGGCAAATCACCGCTGAACGTCTGTTGCCTTGAGAACCCTTCAGGGTCGCCCTGAGTCAGCCGTGACTTGGTGGCATCTTCCAGTACCAGAAAAGCAGAAACGGGCAAGGAAGCCTCCACACGCGGCATCCTGTTGAATGCTGCACCACAGCCCAATTCGGGCTCAAGGAACAGTCGAGTCGCTGCTTTGTATTTGATCCCCAGTCAAAAAATACCATGAAGCTTGGTGGAGCATCCTTGGCACGTGTGAGAGTCTGCGGCTTCTTTTATTGTATCGTGAGAATGCTGGGTAGGATTGGCGACGTGGAGACTGCCACTGTAACCCACTTTTTAGCCCTCAGATTCCCACTGGTAATTAGGATTTCAGCCTTGTGAGCCATCGAGATTTTTGGTACTTGTGGGTTATTGTTGTTGTTGTTCAGTCGCACAGTCGAGTCCGACTCTTCGCGACCCCATGGACCACATCACGCTAGGACCTCCTGTCTTCCGTTGTGCTCCGGAGTGTGCTTAATTTCACATTCGTTGCCTCGATAACACTGTCTAGCCATCTCATCCTGTGCCATCCCCGTCTTCTTTGACCTTCAGTCTTTCCCAGCATCAGGGTCTTCTCCAGGGAGTGGTCCCTTCTCATTGGGTGGCCAAAGTATTTGAGCTTGTGGGTACTGGAGTGGGTACTGGAGTGAAAATGCACGCAGTGGTGCTTTTTGTGTGTCACAAAGAAGCTTTGAAGTGCGTTAGAAGGTACGATAAGCTTTGGGATTTGTATATAATGGGAAAGACAATGAATAATCCTTTTTTAAATAATTATAGTGAGTTGGATATAGACTATGAGGAAAGATGGGAACCGGTCTTGGAATTTTTCAAAAATAATTCTTTGTTGCCTAATAGATTGGATGATTTGAGAATTTTTAAAGCCTAAGGTAGAGTAATTATTCCTAACTTGGACCTTGTAAAAATTTTTGTGTGTTCTCTTGCACACAACGGTTTAGTCTGTGATTGTGTGTTTTGGGTTTATATGCTCGTATTTGGCCTATACTTTCCTTAAATTGTACATGAACTTGTTTAAAATGGATTTCCATCTCTCGCTCTCTTGGTTTTTGTAAAAAAAAAAAATCCTTTCCCCTTGCAATTTAATAAATATTTTAAAAAATAAAAAATAAAGTGCGTTAGATGCCAAAGGGGCAATCAGGACAGGATCAGGTTCCCCCCCAGTGGAAAGATTGTTGTGAGAAACCCCTGTCTTCTACATGTGCCTGTGCCATTCACAGCTAGGGGTTACCAACCTCCAGGTGGTGGCTGGAGATCTCCCGGGTTTACCACTGATCTGCAGGTGAGAGAGATCAGTTCCCCTGGAGAAAATGGCTGCTTTAGAAAGTGGACTCTGTGGCATTGTACCCCATTGAAGTCCCTCCCCCCCAAACCCCACCCTCCTCAGGCTCCACCCCCCAAATCTCCGGGGATTTCCCAAACCTATAGCTGACTCTCCTAACTGACACCCAGCCATGCATATTTTGCTCATTCTCGCCCTGCACGGCGTGTTCCAGACTTTTATCCTATCCAGGCTTGAAGTGGTTGCAAGGTCCATAGCTGTGCCATTGCACACAACAGGATCCGAGACAGAGAGTGTGCGTCTCGGGTAGCAGCAGGAGGGCTCAGCGGGGCTTTGAGCTCCAGGATTAAAGTCAAGCTCTCTCTCTGTCATGACCTACCAGGTCATTTAACAGTGGCAGCCTTTGCTGTCCAAAGAGGAGATGCAAGGACGTCTCCCAAACAGCCTTGAAGGTACGTGGAGTTCATCTTGCGAGTCTTGCCTGGGCGGAAGAGCACCTGGGAACCATGGTGTTATGTCTGCAGACTGCCACTAGGC